TAACCATTTCCTTTTGGTACAATGACTCTGTGTATTCCTTCCATCTTTTCTTGATGCATTCTGCATCATTCAACAATTTGCCCAGAGAATCTTTCAATAACGAAAGTCGAGGCTTGAATTTTTTCTTCAGTTCACCCAGCTTGAGAAATGCTGACCGTGTTCTTCCCTTTTGGTTTTCTAACTCCAGGTCTTTGCACATTTCATTATAATATTTGACGTTGTCTTCTCAACCTGCCCTTTGAAATTTCTGTTCAGCTCTTTTACCTCCTCATTTCTTCCATTTGCTTTAGCATCTCTATGCTGAAGAGCAAGTTTCAAAGTCTCTTCTGACATCCTTTTTGGTCATTTCCTTTTTTCTTCTTAATGACTTTTGCTTTCTTTCTGTATGATGTTCTTGATGTCATTCTACAACTCTTCTGTTCTGAGTGTCTAATTCATCAAATCTGTACTTGAGATGATCTCTAAATTCATATGGGATATGTTCAAGATTATATTTAGACTCTTGTGGACTTGTAATTTTCTTCAGCTTCAGCCTGAACTTGCATATGAGCAATTAATTAATGGTCTGTTCCACAGTCTGCTCCTGGCCTTGTTTTGGCTTGTGATAAGGAGCTACTTCTCCATCTCGTCCCACAGATGTAGTCACTGATTTCTGTGTATTCCATTTGGTGAAGTTCATGTGTATAGTTGTCTTTTATGCTGTTTAAAAATGGTGTTTGCAATAAAGAAATTATTGGTCTTGCAACATTTTATCTTGAGGTCTCCAGCATCTTTTCTGTCACCAAGGCCATATTTTTTAACCTTTGCATTCCAATCACCAGTAATTATCAATACATCTTAATTTCATGTTTGATCAGTTTCAGACTGAAGAAGTTGGTAGAATTCTTCAATTTCATCATCACTGACTTTAGTGGTTGGTTTGTAATTATATAGTGGTTGTTGTTAAGTGCCATCGAGTCGGTTCTGACTCATAGCAACCTTGTTTAGGGTTTCTGAGGAGGTGTTGGTGAGTCTGAACTGCCAAACCTGTGGTTCAAACCAACCTTGAGGTCAAGTGCTTATCCTATGTGTTAACTGGTTTTCATTGTAGGCATATGGATATTAATATTAACTATCACAGTCCTTTTTGATGAAGAATGCGATACGATTGCTCTTTAATTTTTCATTTCTAGTATAGTAAATCATCTGATTGTCAGCTTCAAAATGGACAATACCAGTCCATTTCATCTCATTAATGCCTAGTATTCCATTTTATTTTTGACAACTTCCAGTTTTCCTAGAGTCATACTTTATACATTCCATGTTCCAATTATTAATGGATGCTTACAGCTGTTTCTCCTCATTTTGAGTTGTGCCCCAGTGGCAAATGAAGGTTCCCAAATGCTTTACTCCTTTCCTGTCATCCGGTTAACTCTAAGGAGGTAACTCTTTTCCAGTCGTATTTTGAGTGCCTTCCAACCTGCCAGGCTCATCTTCTGGCACTATATCTGACAATATTCTGATGCTCTTCATCAAGTTTCAATATTCAATATTCTGGTACTATTTGACAGTGTTCCACTACGATCATAAGGTTTTCAGTGGCTAAACATTCAGAAGTAGTCCACCTTTCTTTCTTCCTAATCTGTCTTAGATTGGAATCTCAGCTGAAAGCTGGCCACCATGGGTATTTAAAATACGGATGGCATAGGTTCCAGCAGCACATCAGCACACAAGTCACCACAGTACTACAGACTGACATGTGAGTGGTGTGAAGGTGCAGCGGGAATGTTCAAGCTCTCCTAAATCAAATCTTCAGTGTCTAATCTTCCACCTCCCCCACTTCTCACCCTCCAATGGTAGATGTAAGAAGGCATGGGTTTGGCTTGCCAATGAATAACCACTAATCTAATGATATTTGAATTGCTTTCCTTTCCATGTAGGCGTTTATTGCCGAGATGCAGATGGTGGCTGAAATTCTTCAACATCTAGTTCAGAGGCCTGAAGATTACTTGGAAAATATCGAAAACCTTATTAAACTTTATAAGGAACTGATACTCCATCCTATCGAAGTAAGAAAAACATGTATTTCTGAAAATGGGAAGTTGTTATTTGTGTTTTATCACTTGTTAAGTGCCTTTTTGCATCTCTATATATGAGTATTGTTGTTCTTGAGAAGATCTCTAAATTCAGGTAAGATATATTCAAGGTCATATTTTGGCTCTCATGGACTTGTTTTAATTTTCTTCAGCTTCTTCCTGTACTTGCATATGAGCAATTGGGGGTGTGTTCCACAGTCTTACTGTTGAGCTTTTCCACTGCCTCTTCCCATTATCCAGAATTCCAGAAGTGAAAAACATCCAGGCCCTACAGCAAAGCATAAATAAAAGTGATTGTCTTAGTGCTGGCAAAGCAAGAATTTCAAAGTAATAAACTTAGAGTTTAGATCTAGCTGACACTTGCTGTATTGGATGTTGTTGTTGTTGTTATTAACTGCCGTCGAGTCGTTTCCGACCCATAGCGACCCTGTACAGGGTTTCCGAGGCTGTAAATTTTTATGGGAGCAGAATGCCTCATCTTTCTCCCGCGGAACAGCTGGTAGTTTCGAACTGCTGGCCTTAAGGTTCACAGCCTGATTCGTAACCACTACGCTACCAGAGCTCCTTAATAGTAAAGGAATTGCCTTATGGTAATTCCAAGGTAATGATGTGCAATGGTGCACAAAAGTGATAGGCCTGAAATTTGACTTGGATTATGTGTCTCCTCAGTTGGGTAGCTAAGCTCCCTGAAACATTTTCTATTTGAAAGGACATTGCTTAAACTAAGTGGGAACTATGTCTGACTTCCTCTGGCTTCACAAGAGGGAAAGAGAATCCAACTCAAAATCAGCCCAAGACCAATTCCTATGAAGCAGAGGTCAGACATGCCCCCACCCTACAACCTTCTTTACCCTATTCTGACACCAACCATCCCTCCCACAGCACTCTGCTTCACACCTGGGTTTGAAAATCTATTGCCATGTAGTCCCTTGGCCTCTGCCCTAGTCTGTGGGCCTGGAGCCTACAACTGCTCTTGTCTCTTCCTGCCACCACCTCTGCCATCACCTTTGCTGTCACCACTTTTCTAGGTAGAGATATCACACTCCACTCATGTTCTTCCTTCCTGGAATCTTCCATTCCTGCTTCTGAGATGGCTCCTTTTAAACCTAGTTGGAAGGAAAAGCTAACCAATCCCAGTCTTAGAGTCATGAAGACCTTATTTGCATGTTCCCACCCAATCACTTGGTGGAAATTAAGAAAACATTGGACAGAAAAGCCATATCAAGTAAATTCAAGGTTTTTTTTGGATTTATAGAGACATTTAGACTTCAGTGTAGAGAATAAATGAGAAAACAGAAGGGAAATGAAAATCATGGTACAAAGAGTAGTTCTGGATTTTGTAATGTTTTTGTTATTAAGTGCCAGCAAGTCGGTTCCAACTCATAACAACCTTATATGGGGTTCTTAAGGAGCAGCTGGTGAGTTTGAACTGTCGACTTGGTGGTTAGGCGGCAAGTGCTTATCCTACAGCCTCACACCAAGACTACTGAAAATTATTTGCATTATACCATGTAAAAAGCAAGGGATTTAACTAAAGATTTCTTCATAATGTGTTAAGATTCTGATCTTGTATTTCATTTTCCCTGTGATCCTGTATTTTTAAGATTTCTGTTATCCACAGGAAATGATGGCTGAACACAATTCCCAGTATCTCATTGAGCTGGATGGAAATAAACCACCAGAGGAGCTTTTTCTGGTGGGTACAGTTATTGGGGGAAATATCTCACAGTTTGAAAAAAATTTTTAATTGTTGACTACATTGTACTTATAATAATTATTAGAAATAGATTTACATTTATAAACCAACTTGTTTCTGAAAAATTTATTTTGACACACCATTTTGATGTTTTATTTATTTATATTTAAATCCATACTTAATTTGAATTTGAAGTCTATATTTGGTAAAAGAAAAAAAAAAAATCTTCAAAGAAAAGTTAAAACAAAGACCAGTCAATAAGCCCATGAAAAGATGCTCAGCATCGTTAGGCATTGTTGTTAGTTATTGTCAAGTTAGTTCTAACTCATGTGACCCCCTGTGTGCAGAGCAGAATGGCTCTGTAGGGGTTTTAAGACTGTGACCTTTAAGGAACAGCTCACAAGGCCTGTCACCCACAGTGCCTCTAGGGAGGTTTGAACCACCAGCCTTTCTACTAGTAATCCAGCACCTAACAATTGGCACCACCAGGGACTCATTAGTCATTAACCAAAACCAAAACCTCACTGATGTTAAGTAGATTTAACTCATACGACCCTGTAGGACAGAGTAGAATTGCTTCAGAGGGTTTCCAAGGCAAGGAAGCAGACTGCCTCATAGTTTTCTTGTGTAACAGCTAGTGGATTTGAACTGCCAACCTTTCCATTAGCATTTAACCCACTGCACCTCCAGGGCTCTGGTGTTATACCATCACTAAAATCAAATAAATAAATAAACCCACTGCCACTCATAGGGATCCAATAGGAGATCCATAGGGTTTCTGAAACTGTAAATCTTTTAGGGAGCAAACAGCCTCACCTATGTCCCACAGAACAGCAGATAGGTTTGAACTGCTGACCTTGTGGCTAGTAGTTCAGTGCCTAATCCACAGATCCACCAAACTGATTAGTCATTGTTGTTAAGTGCCAGGGAGTCAGTTTCAAGTCACAATGACCCTGTATAGTGTTTCTGAGGAGCGACTGGTGGGTTTGAACCTTGCAGTTAGCAATCCAGAGCTGATCCTACAGCACCATTGGGAAATACAAATCCAACCCATAACATCCTTGGAAGTGAGGGTTTTGGAATTCTGGCTCTTCCCTTTCCCTTGGACACGTCATCAGGAAAGACCAGTCATTAAATTGATATTATGTTTGATAAAGGAGAGGATCCATAAAAGCAAAGGAAGCCCTCAATGAGATGAACTACCACAATTAGAAAACCAGTGGACTCAGGTATACCAGCAACCAAGAAGATGGCAAAGGACCAAGCACCCTTTGTTGTTTTGCACTGTTTTTTATGTAAAGTCCTCAGGAGTAGGAGTCAACTCAGCAGCAGCTAACAACAGGGTGATTGAAAAAAACAGACAGTTCCAAGTGTTGGTGAGGAATGTAAAATGTGTAGCCACTTTGGATATCAGTTTATTGTTGTTGTGTTATTAAGTCAGTTCCAACTCAAAGCGACCCTGTATAGGGTTTCTGAGGAGGGACTGGTGGGCTGGAACTGTTGAACTTGTGGTTAGTAGTCCAGTGCTTATCCTACAGCGCCAAAACAGGACTCTGTGGAGATTAGTTTGACAGGTCCTTAACGATTAAACATAGAGTCACCTCATGACTCAGCAATTCCACTCCACGTTTTATACCCAATAAAAATCAAAATATATGCTCACACAGAAATTTGTACATGAATATTCATAGCACAATAGTCAAAATTAAAAACAACCTAAATATCCATCAAGTGATTTTTCTATTGCTGAACCGTATTTTGGTTCAGCAATAGAAAAATGAAGTACTGACACATGCTACAACATGAATAGACTTTGGACACATTATGCAAAGTGGAAGAAGTGAGCCACAAAAAACCACATAGTGTATGAGTACATGTATGTGGAATGTCCGAAACAGGCATTTGTTGTTGTTGTTGTTGTTAAGTGCTGTCGAGTCAGTGTCAAGTCGTAGCAACTCTGTATAGGGTTTCCATGGTGTGTCTGGTGGGTTTGAACCTCCAGCCTTGCAGTTAATAATCCATTGTTTATCTTACAGCACCATACCAAATATGAATATTAGAAAGATACAGTATTATTTTAACTGTAAAAAAAAGCAAATGGCAATGTGGTAAAAATATTTTTCATCTTTAATTATTGGAGCACAGTGATTCCATATGATAAACAATGGACTGTGAACCACCAAGACCAGCCCACCAGCTGCTCCACAGGAGAAAGATGAGGCTTTCTGCTCCTGCGACGACTCACAGCCTCAGAAACCCTATATAGTGTCACTATGAGTCACAAGTGTCTCCAGGGCACTTAACAACAACTATCCTTAATTATTAACAACAATCAAAACAAAAAATACTGTGATATTTTATTAGGAAAGGGCAAGGGCCTCATTAGAAAAAATGAGCAAAAGGCAATTTACAAAGAAATGGTCACTAAATATTTTTTAAATGGCGATAATCTAAGTAAGAGTAAGGATTTCTGGTGTGGCGCCGCCAGTTAATGCGGTAAACTGCAACATCGGTTTGGGCTGTTAAGGCCTGCAGTTCCAACTCACCAGCTGCTCCTTGGAAACCCTGTACAGGGTCACTATGAGTCAGATCCCGACTCGATGGCACTTAGTAACAACAGCAATTTAAGTAAATGTAAATTTAAACAACAAAACATTTCTTGGCAGATTAAATGAATGTATCCAATGGGTTTGGAAGTTTCTGGAAATGGACACTCTTCATCCTGAAAAGTGGTATGACTCCTTTTTAACTGAGTCATTTTTAACTGAGTCACAACCAACTCAATGACACTTAACAACAAACTGTCTGTACTCTTTGTAGGAATCTTGGTGTGGCACTGTAGGATAGATACTAGACCACAAGGTTGGTCGAACTGCAAGGCTCGTGGTTCAAACCCACCAGCTGCCCCTTGGAAACCCTATACAGGTCACTATGAGTCGGAGCCAACCCAACGGCATGTAACAACAGCAACAACTCTTTGTATAGCGCTCCACTGCTAACTAAAATGTCATTGGTTTGACCCCACCAGGTGCTCTATGGGAGAAAAATGTAACAGTCTGCTTCTGTAAAGGTTCACAGCCTTGGAAGCCCTACTCTGGCCTCGAAGGTTGCTATGAGTTGGAATTGACTCAGTGACAATGGGGTATATACTCTTTGTCCAAAGAGTTCCAGATTCTAGTAATTTATTCTAAGGAAATACAGAGATATAAATATTTTTTTGTTCAAAATGTTTATAATCAGAAAGAAGGAAAACTTTTTAGAAAGATAATTTTTTCCTGTGTGAGTTTTAAAAATAATATGCTTTTTTACTAAAATGCAAACGTGATTTTTCCCTTTATAGTAACAACACTAAATTCATCATTTAAATATAGCTCATTTGGCAAATCCTCATTTCAAATGTAAGGAAGTACAGATGCAGGGTTGTTGGTTTTTTTCCCAAAATGGAGAAAAAATTTTTCATTTTTTTCTCATTTAAAAAGTTATATACCTCATTGGTTAAAAATAACCAGAAAATACAAAAATGCAGTAAGTATCTCTAGAATACCTAGTGGGTGTCCTGCATAATGATAGGGTTTAGGGATACAAATGGGAAGGTGTCCCTCCCCTCATGTAGTAGCTAACATAGTCCTCCCAAAGTTTTATATGCTTTCCTCATTCCCTCCTCTCCCCACCCCAGATTCTTCCACATAGTGTCCTAACAGCACAGCTCTTAAGATTCAAGAACAAAAAGAGACCCTGTTTAACCCCAGTGTTGGTCCTGTTTGAATCATGAGTCCATCTCTGAGTCATTCACTGGCCAGGGAGATGAGAGACTATTATCAGGCAGTCTGGGAGCACAGGAGCACTAGAAGATGGGAGGTGGGTGGGAGAGCGCAAAAGCATATCTCAGGTAGGGCACCACTGAGCAACTTCTGTTAGCATGGTAAACACAGAGATATAGGAGGGACTGAAGGAATACTTACCACTCCTGCCCCACCCCCAAGTCCAAAAGGGTGCCAGGCATTCTGAGACTGGGGAAAAGATGGGGCAAGGTATTTCTGCTGACATGTGACTGTGGGCACTATCATCTATTTATCTTGAAACTGGGGTGGGGGTGAGGACACAATTTAGAGATTGCCCATAGGCCCTCATTACTCTCCCTATGCTCCTGAGAGAATGCCAGGATTGGGATTTGCAGCCCCACCAAAATTGAAGCCATTTTCCAAAGAAAGTATCGGTGCTGTTTCCAAAAGACAATAAAGATGCTAGATTAAGCAAAAGTGGTACGTAATCGTCCACCTCACATAACTGAGTCTCGAAGAGTTTTCTGATTTTTTGAGAATGCCCTGTATGTGGGCAGATGCTAAGAGACAATAACCACAAGCACTTAAGTGAGGAGAGAACTGTGATTAAATCACCGTGGCAAATGCACTAACAATGAGGTGTTTGTTCCCTACGGAGTTTCAACTGTAGTTGTTTTAATACCAGGATATAGCAGAGTGGACAAGTTCTTAGTTTCAGTCATTGTAAAATAAAGATGTTGTATCTGCTTGTCTCTTGTAACTCCATTTCTTTACCTGAATTTTATAATCAATGAAAAAGATACATAATGTACTGCACTTTTCTAGAATGCTTGAAATATTCAAATATTGTTGCTCTTATACATTGCTTCTTTAAACGTAGATGGTGATGGAGCGACTTAAATATTTGAACCTGAGACGAGCAGCTGTTTTAACTAAACTTCAGAGTGCAGAGGAAGAAATTAATGATGTAATGGAAAATGTAAGTTAATTGGCTGGCAGTCTACTTTTTCATTATATAGTGTGACCTTCATTTGTATCTTTTCAAAATTTAAAAGGAGTTTCTGAATACTTTTTATAAAAATGAGTTTGAGAATCCCCACTATAGTATTTGGACCACTAAAGGAGGCTGACTGGTTAGGATTGATTGATGTAGAAGTTCCTCTGAGTTTGAAAGGACTTTAAATGGATGGCTTTTAAAGAATCAATATAATGAGAATGCTTCAAATAATGATTCCCAGTGCTGAATGTGTAGTAGGGTCATTTAGGAAGCTTTTTACATACTCCCAGGTGACAAAGGGCTCTGTCATTAATTAAAAGGAACAAATCAAAACTTTCCTAGAAGGCTCTATGCAGCCAGAGATGAGAATAGTTGGTTTAAAGGATAAGAGAGGCACAAATACCTCAATGTGGACGTATTCCTGGGTGAAGCATCCATAACACCTGGTAAATTGGGAGAAAATGTAGGTGTGTGGGGGTCTTGAATTCTAGCTCTCCGGCACCAGATCTGTGACTCTTCTTCACCTTGTATAAAGGTGAAGAACTCACCCAGTGATAAAAAGGGATAATAACCCTTACCGGGAAGGGTTGTTGTAAGGATTCAATAAGAGGGTTTCTTTTTTAAGCAAATCTTCTACAAAAGAACTCTTTAAAATATTCAAGAGCAAAGATATCACTAAGGTGCACCTAACCCAAGTAATGGTATTTTCAATTGTCTCATATACATGCAAAAGTTGGATAATAAATAAGGAAACACATAGAAGAATCAGTGCATTTGGCTTATGGTGTTGGGCTAGAACATTGAAAGTACCAAGAACTGCCAAAATAACAAACAAATCTGTCTTAGAAGAAGTACAGCCAGAATGCTCCAAAGCCAAGATGGCAATACTTCGTCACTCGTTCTTTAACTACGTTATAAGGAGGGAATAGTCCCTAGAGAAGGACATCATGCTCGGTAAAGTGGAGGGTCAACAAAAAAGGGGAAGACCCCCAACAAGATAGATTGACACAGTGGCAGCACCAATAGACTCAAACATAACAATAGTGAGGATGGTCCAGGACTGAACAATGTTTCATCCTGTTGTGCATAGGGTTGCTATGGAAAGGAACTGACTTGATGGCATATAGCAACAACAATTTTTCTTAGCTTTTATTGTGAATTGAGTGAAGGTTTACAGATAAGATCATCAGCTTTACAGTCAACAAATCATACACTTTGTTTCATTTCAATGATTTTAATCCCTTCCATGAAACAACAGTTATCCTACTTCCTCCCTGTGGTACCAATTCCCATTCTGCCCACATATTTATCCCTTCTCAAATGTGTCCTTAGGTAAATGTTGCCCCTTTGATTTTGAATGATTGACCATTCCATTGTGAACATACCTCACTACTATTGTTGTCCCCCTGAGATGCCTATCTTCTGGTTGGCTGAAAATTGGGCTACGAGGGTGAGTTCCTTTCCAGACCTGAAAGGTGGTCAAGGGGCATAGTCTCAGGTTCCTCCAATCACTTTCTGACTAGTAAGTGGCCCGTCTTTTTTTTTTTAATAATTTTAAGTTTTGTTCCACATTTTCTCCCACTTTATTTGTCATCTTCTAATGTGATACATTTCAGAGCAGTTGGTAGTGATAGCCAGGTACCATCTAGTTCTTCTGGTCTCAGAGTCACACAAACTGAAGTGCTTCCTCAGAAGGTTGGAAATAGAAATACTGCATGGCCTAGCAATCCCTCTATGTGGTATACAGCCACAAGAAATAAGAGTCAGCACACAAGTCAGTACATGCACACTGATGTTCACTGCAGCACTATTCACAATAGCGAAAAATGGAGACAGCCTAGATGCCTACCAATGGAAGAATGGATAAACAAATTTTGGCACTTACATACAAGGGAATACTGTGCAACGGTGAATAATAATGATGAATCTGAAACACTGCATAACATGGATGTACCAGGAGTACATTATGCTGAATGAAACTAGTCAATCACAAAAGGACAAATATTGTAAGAGACCACTATTATAAAACTCAAGAAAAGATTTTCATGTTAAAAGAAACATTCTTTGATGGTTACCAGGGGTGGAAGGGAAGGGAGAGTAATTCACTGGCTAGAGGGTGATGGGCAGGAAAATATGCAAGACGAGAGTGATTAGTAGAAGAATGATGAAGACAGGTGAAAACACAGGTAGGTACTCAGGGCTAAAGGGGATAGAGGTGAAACGTGTTATATATAAAACTTTGGAACAACAGTGTTCTGTGGGAAGACACATGGACAGGTACACAGTTTGAATATGTCCAGGAGGAAGAGTGAAAGTATAGTAAAAAATATATAAGGGTTTGAAACATGATATTTGTACATAGGCATTTTACATTTACTGCAAACACACCTATGAATGTGTATACAGAGGACAAAATGATGTACGCTTCTTAGATAGTATCAAACAGCTTAAGGCAATGAGTTGCTGGATCTGGAGGCTAGGACCATAGTCTCAGGGGAACCATGGTCAATTTTGGTATAACATAGTCCAAATTTGGTATAACATAGTCCACAAAGACGGTGTTCTACATCCTGCTTTGTTGAGTAGCGACTGGGATCTTAAAAGCTCATGAATGACTATATAAGCCACAACTATTGGTCTCTGCAGGATAATGCGCTGGACCACAAGGTCAGTTTGAGCCACAGTCAGTAGTTCAAACTCACCAGCCACTCCTTGGAAACCCTGTACAGGATCACTATGAGTTGGAACCAGCTCAATGGCACTTAAAAACATTAGTCTCTCCATGTGGGGAAGAAAGAAGAGTGATGAGAAGTGACAATGTTTGGAATCAATTAGTCCAATGGACTATGTAAATGTCAGTCTGCATGACTCTGAGATGGTACCTGGCTAATACTACCACTGCTCTGAAAGGGAACACATTAGAGGGTCCTGGATAAAGTGGGAGAAAAGTTAAGAAGAAAACTCAAAGTCAGTAAAAAATAATGAAAGACCAGACTTACTGGTTAGACAGAGACTGATAGAACCCTTTGTCACTCTTCAGGTCTGGAACTGAACTCACTTCCTTTGGCTCAATTTTCAGCCAATAATAGACAGGTCTATAAGGGGAATAATAACACTAGTGAGATCCACACAACTGGTGTGATGCTATAGGAAAGGCACCAGATTGCTGACCACAAGGTTAGAGATCCAAACTCACCAGCCACTACTTGGAAACCCTATACAGTGTCACTATGAGTCAGAACTGACTCGATGGCACTTAACAACAACATCAATCTCTCCATGTGGAGAAGAAAGAAGAGTGATGAGAATTGATGATGTTTGGAATCAATTAGTCCAATGGAACATGTGAATATTAGTCTGCATGACTGAGACCACAAGAACTAGATGGTGCCTGGCTACCACTACCAACAGCTCTTTAAAGGGATCACATTAGAAGGTCCCAGATAGAGTGGGTGAAAATGTGGAACAGAATTCAAAATTATGAAAAAAAGACTGGGTTTATTGGTCAGAAAGAGACCAAAGGAACCCGAGACTATGACCCTTGACCACCCTTCAGGTCTGGAAAGGAACTCACCCTCCCAGCCCATTTTTCAGCCAAGCAGTAGATAGGCATAAAGGGGGACAAGAACAGTAGTAAGGTATGCTCACCATAGAATGGTCAGTCATCCAAAATCAAAGGGGCAACATTTACCTAAGGACAAAGTGGAGAGGTAATAGGAAAGTGGGTTGGATAGATATGGGAGCCACGTGGAAGAAGTGAGGTGACTTGTTGCTTGGAAGAGATTGCAATCATTCAGGTGAAACAAAGTGTATGGTATGTTGAATGTGAAACTGATCATCTTGTCTGTAAACCTTCACTCAACTGCCAATTAAAAACTTTAAATATATATTGATTTTTCCATTCTTTTCTGTGGAATAGTTTGAATAGAATTGGTGTAAGCTCCTCTATGAATATTTTGTAGAATTCATCAGTAAATCACCTGGCCTGGATTTTTTTGTTGTTGGAAATTTTTAATGACCTCATCAATTTCTTCTTTTGTTATGTTGTTGTTGAGTGTTGTCGAATCATTTCCGACCCACAGAGACCCTGTATAGGGTTTCCAAGGAGCAACTGGTGAGCTTGAACCACCAACCTTGCAATTCAAATGGCTTTGCAGTCTGGCACATTAACCCACATCACCATACCCGGACTCCTCTTTTGCCTGTTCAAGTTTGTTTTTGTTTTTGTTTTGAAGTTTTTATTGTGCATTGAGTGAAAGTTTACAGGGCAGATCATCAGTTTTACATTTAACAAATCATATCCTTTGTTTCATTACAATGATTATAATCCCCTCCATGTACTATTAGTTAACAGTATTTCTCTCTATTCATTTTAGCTCTTATTAAAAAAAAAACAAAACACTCAAGCATATATAATAATTTAAACCACCAAAAGGCACATTCTGAAAGCCTGCTTCCTGGCCACCAGCTCTCAGTCCCTCTCTTTCCATGAATCTAGAGTCCTCAGCTACTCCCTCTCTGCAGGTCTCCATCTCCGCATCCATCTTTGATGTTGCTGCTTCACCTGCTAGGGTCCCATATTCCTCTTGCGCTCTTCTCCCTTGATGATCAAGTTTTTTTAAATTTTACTTCAGTGTTAGTTTAGATAGGTCGTATGTTTCTAGAAATTTTTCCATGTCCTCCAGACTTTCAAATTTGTTGGAGTACACTGCTTCATATGTTGTTATTGTTGTTGTTAAGGGCCATCGAATCGGTTCCAACCCATAGCAACCCAGTATAGGGTTTCTGAGGGACAGCTGGTGATCTTGAACTGCCGACCTTACCGTTCAAACGGCTTTGCAGTCTGGCGCTTTAACCCACAGCACCACAATTCTTCATATAGTACTCTGTTATTATCCTTTTTATTTATGTTGGTTCTGTTGTAACATCACCCATATCATTTCTTATTTGTGTTTTTTGTATCCTTCATTTGGTTTGTCAAT